CCGTTGCAGCCGATCAAAAAGCCGATTCGCATTCGCCGAGCAAGAAAGCACGATAGCATGAGGGTATGTCGTCTACAATAAGTATTCGATTGTAAAAGCTTATGAGCTTTGACATTTGAACACTCCCTTTAATCAAAGGCAGGAACCTTTAAAATGTTGTTTTAGAGTTACGATTCTGATGAAGGAAGGAGATATAGAAAATCCCCACGAATTCCTGTTGATTCTTTCGAGCTGTATTAGTAGGGTATTAGTATTAATGCAATCCTCCGTTTTTGCTCATCGTTTCTTCTTTTCGACATTTGTCTCTTTGCAATATGTGCACATGTAAATCATCCCAAACAACATCACGTACAAGTGTTAATCCGTTTTTATCAACTATATATGAAGTGAAAATGATGTTTAAAATATTCAGATAAGTCAAGAAAAAATAAAGTTGTTTGATAATATGAATGTCACTATTTCACTAAATGACCACATCTGGCCTTTCCTCATGCCTTTATATGGGCAGAACATAGTTTTCCAATGATAATGTTTTGGGATCGATGACACATTCTGTGGCAACGCCACTATTCAGCAATTCGGTCATGCTAGAACCATAAAGTCTTATCAAAGGTACTTTTTTCTTTTTGTGCATCGTTGATTACCGGAAGGAGTAAAAGGGCACACGAGTATAAAATATTTACCGTAAACCAAGGTGCTACGTTTCCCAAATAAAGCACCCACTGTTTAGTAACAACTTTTTTATTCACATATTTGAATACAACAATTCCGCTGGAAGGCCAATTTTACTTTTCAGTTATAATTAAATCTCGTAGTTCTAGAAATCATGGTAGGTTCAAGGCGTGAGTTCGTAAGTGACTTCATGGCGATAAGCATTTACCATATATTGGTCTTTGCAATACTAAGTGCTTGTCAATGTGCACAGTATACTATATATCCATACACAATTGCATGCGTTTTGAAAGCTTTTCCGTGTTAATGCCTGAAGTGCCTTACGCGTGAGCCACAACCTACAACTTTAACCTAAACCGTAATCCGATTTGGAAAGATCCGTTCATAGATGCAAATCTAAGTCCAAGTATTCCTTCCAGTCGAATCAGTAAGGTCTAAATTTGTTAATTTAAAAATATAGCGATCACCGAGCATTGGCACATCTTTTGGGAAATCTTGTTTTTTTCGCAGTAGAGGGATATTTACTTGTTCCAAAGAATTCCTCGGATTAGTTTTGAGTAGTTTCATCTTTGTGCAGAATGTCTCGCATATTCGATCATAAGCCTAGTAAGACTTAGAAGGAACACAATCCTCGGTACAGTTATCACAACTAGCTTTTGTCCAAATTCATTCAACGAAGGTTTTTGAAAGTTGACACGGGTTGCAACGTGTAACAACATAAGATTTTCGCTAGTAGGGTGAATTCAAACGATAAATATGGAAAGGCAGCAATATGGCAAATCTCGCTGAGAAGATGTTGCCATCTGGACCTCTTTGAAAAATTTTCATGCCGTCAATTCCCTGTAATTATCAAGTTGGTTTGAATGAATTGACACGTTATCAAAACGGTCACAGCGTGTAATTGTGATGTAGTAGAAAAAAACTTTTTATCGAACCA